GAGGAAAATCCACGAACATTGAAGAAAGGTCATATAAATCATCAAGTATTGATCACTTGAGCTATTGCTATTTTCAATTTCTAACAACCAATATTAATGATTTCCTCCCTCTCCTGTTACATGTATGTAAAGTACATACGACGAGTGCAAAACCGGTTTTTATAGAAAGATTTCGTTCTTACTTTTACATCGGCAATCATTACCATCTGCGGGGTGGGATAAAAACATTCGCGAATAATGTTAGAATGATATATTCGATGTAATCTCAACAATTTGGATCACATACGCGTATTTCTTTAAAAAAAAATCTAGAGAGATAATATATAAAATTTGTTGTGAGAATATACATATACGACTTCTTTTACATTCGTGCTATCGATTTATTGCTTTTCGAGATAAATCTTTCCGAGATATATATATCTAGTGTAACTGAAGAATTTTTGTTGTTCGTCTCTAACTGCTTTGTAAGACTGTCTTCAGTCTTCGGTTTTTAAAAAAAAATATTTAAAATTTACATTACTATTGAATTAGCGAAGCTATTTGATTGAAAAATAAACGTTCTTCTTTTCGGAGCGCCCTGTATATATCGCTTTTCGCAGCAGGTAGACCGCTTCTTCAATGCTGCGAACAACTCATCGTTTAGTAGTATCGTTTCATTGCTCACGCGAGTATATACGTTTTTCACGCGCTCTTGTCCGTTCTGCAAGAGAAATCGAATACAGTGTTAGTATTATCAAGTCCAGTGAGATAGCTAAAAGTCGACATTAATCGCTAGCGATAACGGTGTTATTTCTGATCCGGATGGTTTTTGTGTATTTCGACGATTTATCGGAATAAAAAAAAAGAAAGCCGCGTAATATGCACGTAATTTTATTTTCATTTGCTTTTTATTCTGCCTGATAATTATATCGCGTGCGTCAATAATTTACTGATATTGACATAAATCTTGTTATCTTATATTTTGATGTTTGAACATACGCCCCCTTTTTGAAATAATCAGGTTACTGGAGTCGTTAATTAGAAATTAGCAAAATACAAAATTTGCAACACATATATATATATAGTAGAATATTTTTTTGCAACAATATATAACAGGTAACGATGCTTCTCTTATATAAAAATAGACTTGCTTATTCATCAATTCATTCAAAAATTCCGATTAAGACCGGAAGCAGGAAGTGTCTAATTGTACATAGTTTCGATATATTAAATATTTAGTCATAGAAATTTAGTCATACATATTATATATTACTTCCTTATTATTACATATGTATGTAAGTATATAAATATTGTATGTAGATACGTTTTACAAGTATTTTTATCTACTTACATATATATTTAACATTAAATAATGAATATTTCATGGAAACTATGATTATATTTAGAGTTTGCATTAACATTTTTAAATTACAAGATCAAAAATATCATTTTAAATCACAAGATCACTTATAAATATTATTTTTTCAATTGTTATGTGAATAATATTTAAAATAGTTAGCACTGTATCTACATATGCTTATTTGTTATTCGATGTATTATACATTTTTTAATACATTTTTATCATTCGAAATTTTATCATATCTCTCAAATAACTATTTTGTGGCCCAAAATGCCGTATATTCATGCTATCTTTTAAAAAATATATTAATTAAATTTGCACGCTTTCTTATCACTTTTATCATTTTAATTCAGTTTAGCAAATTATGTACGGTATGATGGCGGAACGTAATAAAATTACTCTAACAATAAGTAATATAAGATTAACTATACATTTTATTAATATTGTATGGGTCATAATCAGCGCGTATTCTCAGGAGAGTCATCGTATTTTCTTGCTCTCTTTCTCTTTTTCATCATTTTTTGCGGCACTTTCATGAGTAAGCTTCCGCAATTCGGCGATAACGTTATAAGAGGCGACGATAATATTATTTCAAGTTGCCATATGAGAACAGTTTCACTAATTAGTACAAGATGGAACGGCATCTGAAAACAGTCTTGTTCCTTGTTTGTTTTGTGATTTTGATCGCGGACACTCTCGAAAGTAATCAGACAGAAGAAGAGCCAAAGGGATCATTGGAGAAAAGTTTTATCATCCCTCATGTTTATTTGGAGGTAGAGATAATTCCAAGTTTGCTCACATTTTTTATATTGGATATCTAGAATTTATCAACGAGACCAATTCGCGTTGCTTTGCCAACACATAAGTGTATCTGTAATAATAATTTTGCCAATGCCTATAGTTTGCCAGCAATAATTGATATAATAAAATATAATTTTTTCACAAACAGAAGAAAAAAAAACTACTTTTTTATAATTTTTTAACGTTGAATCATAAATCCAATCTTCAAAATGCTCTTTTATATGTCGCAATTTTGAGAAATCTAAAGTTAATGTAGTAAATTAATTGAATTAGTTTTTCTTAAATTAAATTTATAAGAAAAACTAATTCAATTAATTCAATTAATTTACTATGTTATAATTACTATGTTATAATTACTATGTTATAATTATAATAACGTATATGTACCGTGCTAAAAATATTATTACAATTTATAGACTTTAAAAAAAGATTATTGAGAAAATTGAAGTTAATAATATTTTCATTTATATACATATGTATAAACATTGAATTTATCATATTGTTAAAAAGTTAGATTAAATTAGTATGAGTTAAATTATTAAAGATTAGATAGATAATATAAGTATATATAAATATTTTTTAATCGATATACACATAAGGATTTTTAATAAATTTTAATTTTTATAACACTTTTTTGAGATAAAAGTTTTAACAATATAATTAATTTAAAACAGAAATCTAACGCATTTTATATTATATGTAAGTTACTTTAAAAGAGTCATTTTTAGAACTTAATTTCGAATTTTTCATAATTAATATATCAGAGAATTTTGAAAAAATCACAGATTCGTATTTTCAATTAAAAAACTATAAAGGTGGTTATTTTTTTCTTGTTAAATTGTGCAATTAATTTTGGAATAATAACTTTGTAGATATAATGATAACATCAAAAACGATTATTAACTCTTTATCGTCATAATTAATCAAAATTTTCAGAAAGTCTTATTTTTTAAATGTAAACTTGATTGAAAATATCTTAAAGATAATTTTGTATTAACGTAGATATACTATTCAGATTAAACAAAAGATTAAACAATGTAAAAAGTGATATTATAAACATATATCAAGATTTTAATTCTAGCATTCCGAATTTTATCTCAATTCCTAATTGTATAATATGCAGTGAAGAAAAAATATTGGAAAATATTGGAAGTATTGGATATAGATAGCCATTTTGAAAGCATATAAACATAAAATTTCACATAGTAATGCTGAACTAAAAATAAAATTGTTTTAGGTCGCAGCTATAACAATGAATTTTTAGTGGATTTTATTACGCGTAATGCATTATTAAACATATCCAGCAATATTTTCCATCAGAACTCTATAAGCTGACAATTTAATATTCTCTGCAACTACATCTCATGAGTTGGGTTATTTGTTTTTATTCCCTCGGGCTCTTTTTCTCAGACAACGACTGATGTTGGCGATGACGGCTCCGGAAAGCCTCGTGTATCCTTATGTTGTCGCATTAATACTTTCCTCACCGGAGATGACTGTGTAAGGGGCGCGTTGAATGGAACGGAAGTGGTCCAGCTGCCGGCGGTTTACGAGACCGATCTTGTACTGGCAAACATCACTACGAGCGACGAGTACTTCAATTTTGTAATATGGAACCCATGCGCCGGCAAGAATCGGTATCCTTTAAATCCGCACATTTACGAGGACGAGGAATGGTATCTCATATCGAACGGCTCCATATTACGACCTCTGGCTGAGGAACTGGAGGAGCGTATCCTCGACTACCATCAATACTGCTTAGCACGGGTGAGAAGCTACGAGTATCAGGAGTACTTGGTGTTTTTCTGCGAGACGTATCCACTTGAGGATGACGATGGTGGTGGGATCGTGTACTCTCTCGGCATGCTTGTATCAGTGCCGTTTCTAGTCGTCACGTACATCGTCTACTGGATATTGCCTGATCTGAGAAACTTGCATGGCCTAACGTTGCGCGGATACATCGGTTGTCTGGCGGCAGCGTACAGTATGGTAGGAATGCTGCAGTTGATACCACAGGAGCAAATCGTAACCAGCGTCTGCATCGCACTCGGTATATCTACAAAATGATGTGACTTTTTTCTCTTAATTTGCTGTATTAATGCAACAGAAAAAAATCATGTTGTTTTAAGATAAAATTGCTATTTCTCGACAAAAATTTCCGACTGCATTAAACAACGTTGTTTGAATTTTGACGGCTTCTTTTGTCTCGAATTATTTTATATTATGCATAGCATATCCTAGAGATAGTGTCATTGAATGAAATGTGATTCTAGAAATCTTGCGAATTATAAGGAAAGATTATTTAATAAGCGCGCGAGAGACAACTTTCTAAACAAGTTCTCACTTTTATTTTTTTTTGCAAGTGTTGACATTTAAAAAAGTTATATGTTAGTTATAGCATTATTTGTAATTTATTTATAGTTTATGATGTAAATCTCATGATTCTCCTAATATTTATCGTGTTATAGAGATAGAGTAAGATATAAGGATAATTGAACAATGACTCTCGGCATAAATGCTTGGATTATGTAATTAATTACACATAATTAAGGAATGCGTCATTGAAATATCTCTTTTCCTAACTCGCTTTTTTTCATTATTCTGCTTCGTACATTTGCATTTAATGTAACTGCTTGCTTTTTTATTCAACTAACATAGAAAAAAAGTATGAACTAATTCACACAAAATTTTTAATCTATATGATTATAAGTGAAATTATATGCTACTAAACTCGATTGGCTCACTTATATCTAATTATTTAAATTATTTAATATTTAAATTTAATATTTTAATATTTAAATTATTCTTCTCTTTTAAATTGTTTTTAAAGATATTGACAATAAAATATAAAAAAATAGAATATAAAAAAATTTTCACGAAATTTAAGCCAATGACTCTCAGCTAATATAAAACAAATTGTGAAAAAAATCGAAATAAGTATTGTACCATTCTCCAAGTCATATCCCTCGCAAATCGAACCATGAGACTCAAAGGGATTTACGTCTTCCCCCTGTCTTGTCACCGTTCTCAGTTGATCGAAGACCTATCTTATCGAGTGGCTTCTTATCGGCGTGGCTCTTCTTTTAACGTGCAAAGCAGGTTCGTCCTTTACTGGGAAATAAAAATATTCCTGTTACAGTCAAAGCATTGCAAACTTATATCACGCATATTCTCGTTTCCGTAGTTTGTGATATCGTTGCGGTTGCTGGACAAGACTGCAAGGAAAAACTAAACTAGATCAGTGAATTCGACGCATCAACAGGTTGACGATGCATAAGCAAAGTTGCGCGTTGTGGTGTTGCACGCTTTTGCTCGTCGCTTCATCCTTAGAACTTCGACAAAATTCTACAAACGATGTCGATAATTCGACGGTGCAATATGAAGTTTATTTAAACTCTACAAAGAATCGCGAAGATAAAGTGGAGTTGCTGCAACAAAATTTGCGTGAAAATTCCTCCAAGGATAATAACAACGATGTGCAATATCACTTCCATACTAACTCAACTAACAACCGTGAAGATGATAATTCGACGTATGAATTTCGCATGCAATCGACGGATCACGAGGAAACCAATCAAATGTTAATGGAACTTCGTATGAACTCTACCAAGGACAACGGCAAGAACAATTCCGTGCCAATTGATGGAAACTTTACGAGAATCGAAGACAAGAATTTAACATTGTATGAACTTCCTGGAAACTCAACACAAACCGAAAGTAACAATGACTCGACATCATATGAATTCCATGAAGAGTTCAGTAAAAATGATACCAAAAACAATATTTTGCCATATGAAATGTGCAATAATAATAACTGCATTCAACTCTGTTGCCCTCTTGGCGATCGTTTGGTTAAAGAAAAATGCGTACGTGGAGAGGGTAATTATCCCTTTCCAGATGTATATAGTTACACAACGAGCGATTTGCAGAGCGAAAATAAAAAAGTGGACGAACTATTTCAACTGGTCGTTCACGATCCATGTCGAGAAACTGAACGCTTTTTGCTTGATCCCAACGAATATCCGGACGATGAATACATGTTTCTCATCAATGGCTCTCTGTATCAACCACGTCACGAGAATTTTCTTAAACCGACATCCTATTGTCTCGCCGTCGTGCGGGACAAGTTCGAAGTGACCGTTTGCTTCGACTCTATAAATGAAACAGAGATAATTGAAACAAATCATCAGCTAACTAGTAAACCCGTGGGTCTTATAATATCCCTGCCGTTTCTATTGGCGACATTTGTAGTGTACTCTATACTGCCAGAGCTTGGAAACATGCACGGCTACACGCTACGCGGATATGTTGGATCGTTGTTCGTATCGTATACGGTTCTCGTCGTGCTCCAGTCAATCAGTCCAAATGATATAAAGAAATCCATCTGCATTACACTGGGTACAGCATACCCAAATAATTATAATCGCATAATACATTTGTAAAGATTTATATACATTCTTTTGTTAATTATTCTCTCTCTCTTTTTCCTTGTGATATAATAATTGCAGAAATTATTAAAATCTTAAAAATTAATGGATAATTAATAATGGATAAAATTTAAATTTTTAATGCATTATAACATATATAATTAACTTGGATTTAGATGAATATCTTTCTTTTTGTCTTCAAATTTTCCGAATATTATGCTTTAATATAATATAAATTGGTATAAGATCAAGACAATTATTACAGTCGTCTATTATATAATATAAAAAATTACAAAATTAAAATAATTTTGTATTATTTAAGAAATATTTAAATATAATAAGAAAATTTTTTATATGATAATTATAAATCATTGAAAAACTTTGGCATTTTAAATGATAAAATTAATTATTTATAAAAAACGGATAATTAAAACTTATTCAAGAAATTTATTGATATTAATAGAAAACTTTGAAATTCTTCTAATATATAATTTTTATATAATAATGAATAATATAAAATAAACAATAATTTAATAAAAAATAACAGAAACTTTTTTTTAAATACATGCAAGAAAGTTATTTCTCATAATTTTTCACATTGAATACTCAATAATTTTTATATTAGATACAATAATATTTTATAGTTCAAACAATGTTTATTTGTTTATTTCAGCCTTCTTCATCCACTTTTCATTTTTGGCGAGTTTCTTCTGGCTAAATGTGATGTGCTTCGACATTTGGTGGACATTTGGGTAAGTTGTTGAATACGAAAAGAACATGTCTTAGTTTTAAAATATGCTATAATTGAATCGCAAATTAAAATATCTCGAGAATAATTTTTTTAATCATCATTACATTATAATCAATTATTTACATGCGATATATGTTTACACAATTATAATCGATATTAATTGTGGTTTATCATGAGTAGTGCGTTTCTATATAGATCGAGTTCTAGGTCAAAATGTGAGTTAATTGATTCATCAAATATTTTCACAAGGGCCATTTGATCGCTCTTATAACAAAGAAATTTGATAATTGATAAACACCGGGAGGAAATTGATAACGACAGGACGCGAATTAATATCCGGTACGTGACTGACGTGCGTATATGGCGCAAACATAGTCGAGTTAATTTTGATCTCGTTCGCGGTCAGACGTCGGTCCAAGAAGCCATTCCGATCAGGCAATATTCGGTGCTCGGAAAATATCAACAAAGTATCCCCAAACATCGATAATACGCACAAGCGTGAATTTATGGCACTATACATTCGAATAATTATTAATCATTATTATACATTCTAACGTTATTCAAAATTTATCTAAATAATGTTCCTCTAAATAAAATTAAAGAAAAAAATTAATATACATATAATATACATATAAATAATTGTCATTTATGTTGATGATCAATTTAACAAAGTGTTATCATATACATTACGCATATATATAATATAATTCATTCTTGATTGTGCTTCCAACCTATAGCAAGCGAAATTTTCATTTACTTTTCGCTCTTATTTTTCTTTCTTTATTCATTATTAAAGGTGGTGAAGTAATTTTTTATCTTTCGCGTGTCAATGATATTCCATGACGTGGCAATGTCGTGTCACTATTTACCGTTTCCGTATTGTGCGGGTGATCGCCAAGCCTACAATCGTCATGTTACGAGGGTGTGACAATTATCTGTGTGTATATGCTGTGCGTTCTCTTGTAATCAATTACAGAAAAAAGAGTCACGCGCACGATTGTACTCAGAATTGAATTAATTTCTTTCTTTATTGCATGCACACATTATGTTACGATGTCATATATTGTCCTTACACACGTATAAATACGCATATCTATCTTTATGGAGGATATACAGGATACAAAAGATAAATATTTATAATTGTCATGAAAAATTTACTAAAAAATTAATAAAAAAATATATGTCATTTAATATACAAAATATATATAATAAAATTATAAAATATATAATATATAATATATAAATAAAATTATAAAATTATACAATTATTAAAATTATACAATTTCTCCTACATTTACATTGTAAATTTTGTGTATATTCTATTTATTACTGGTTAAAAAATAATACATAAATCGTATTTTCATAGAGGATTCCGGTCGTTACAAGGAAGCGTGAAACAACGAGAGAAAAAAAAGTTTATAATATATTCGATCTATGCGTGGGGAAGCGCCTCCATCCTCACTATTGTCTGTGCTATCATGGATTTCGTTCCTAATGTACCAAAGGAATTTATTCGACCAGAATTCGGTGAAGCGACATGTTGGTTTAATAGTAAGTGCATATTACTGATAAATATTTCTATTAATATTCTATTAATTCTATTAATTGGCACATTTCATTCAAAATCATATAATTAAATCTTTGTTTAAATAAAAAATGTTAAAATCATACATATAATAAAAATTCTTGTAAAAATGAAAAATGTTATGCACATTTATAAAATGTAATGTAATTAAAGATATAAAAAAATCATTTTTTAATTTAAAAAATAAATTTGGATTTTTTCATTTTTTAAATATATCATTTTTTAATAAGATAAAAAAAATTAAAGTTTTATATTTTTAATTTATATTTTTATCTTTCTTTAAAAATAATTTTAATAAATTAATCTTAAATTGAAGTCTTTAATAAATTACTGTCATAAATTTAATATAATTCGAATAATTTATAGTTATATATATATAATAAAAATTTTTATTCATCATCATCATAAATTATATGATCATTTGATATTATTTTAATCATTTTATTATATTAATTGTTTTATTATATTAAAATAGTAATTAAAAATATATTTTTAAGTAATTTAAAGTTTATTTTTAAGTGAATATATTAAAGTATATATTATAAAAAATTATATTTTTGTATTTAGGATAAAAATACAATTCATTCAAATTCAATTTTGATTTTTCTTGAAGAATTTAACTAAGTAATAAAAATAATAATTATATAATTATTATTAAAAATAGTAATTATCTATCAATTTGAATGCAATTTACACTTAAAATGAAGGTAGTTCAAATTTATCATCTAAAAAATAGAAAAATGATGAAAAATTAGTATACAATAATTGAAATATAAAGATGTCGAATATATGAAATATATGATACATATATGAAATATATGATACATATATGAAATATATGATACTTTTTTTAAATACAAGGCTTATTGTTTTTCTCAAAAACCATATTTTATGAGAAAATATTTAATTTTCTATTTATATCTTTATATGTGTGTAATATTAGAATATTACAAATTTATTTTCTGTTTTAGCGGACGGGGCGAAGGCGTTGTACTTTTATGGGCCCATGAGTATCACTGTTATTTGCAATATTTGCTTATTTATTTCTACAGCATTGAAAATCTTGCGCCATAAAAAAGATACAGATCATCATCTGAAAGGTTCAGAGAGCCGGCGTCATGATGACAATAAACAATGGTTCGTACTAAAATCTTTTTGCATTTGCTAAAGCTGATAATTTGTCTGGATAACGGAATATATGTATTTCGATATATCCGTTTGCAAACGGTTTTGTATAATGTCAATCGTTTTCCAAGATGATTATTTTTAGATGGTAATTTTCCCATGCAGAAGTTTGCTTTCATAATTGCGAAATCTTTTGTAAAAACAAACATATCACTGCCATTCGGGTCCCGCATGAGCAGAATTTCTTGAGAGCATCTGCGATTCTTGAAAAGATGACAAACTATAATATCAAAACAAATAAGACTAAAAAATGGGTGTTCTTATTTAGTAAAAACGGAAATCATATTTCTTAAGGTTCTTGTATTCTCACTGCAACCATATTGAATTATGTCGTCAAAAGCGAGAAATTATATGAAATTTTTTCTTGCGAAATTTAAATCAGTAAAATACGTCAAAAATTGTCTTTTTTATTATCATGCATTTGTTGTATCCGTCATATTAAACATTAAAGAGCATTAAAAGAGGAGATATTAAAAAGAGTGAACAATAAAAGTTGAATAGATTAAGTAACATTTTAGTTATGAAATAATATCGAGGATTTTATTAAAAAAATAAAAGTAAAATATTATAAAATATTAAACGAAATGTAACGAGAAGTAAATCATGAACAAATTCTCAGAAATTGAGTAAGTAACAGAAGAGAAAGATGTAAAATAAAACGACATTATAGTAAGAAATGAGAAGCGGAGCAATATGATTCAGTCAGATTATCATGCTTTTACCTTCCTAATTAAACTTAATTATCTAATTAAGCGTCTTATATAATATCTTATACAATGTCTTTCTAATAACGAAAAAGACCGGGAATTGCTTGTAAAAATAATATCGTAAGTATTGTAACCGCGAAAACTTTCACGAAAATTTTCATTGTGTGATGGCAAATATAGAATGAAACAGTGTAAAAATGTCTTATATTTGCTTATATTAATATAAAATAAATTTATGATAAGCAGATTTTATTAATAGTTGAAAGAGTACAGACAACTGTTGCCTAGAATTTCCCATTTATTGAGATTGGAACTTCGTTTTTGATTTAAAATAAATAATTTATGATGAATAGATTACGAATATGTTTTCAAATGGACTAAGTTATTGAGAAAATGGTAAATTAAATGTCTTTTATAAAGGTTTAAAAATTGTTTAAAAATGAAACAAAAAACATAAAAACATAAAAATTAAACAATATTTGACGAAAATTAAACAATATTCGACGTATTTTACTAATCTATATTACCGTATACGAGTGATCGCATTCAAAGAACTTATTTGTTTTGATATATTTCACAAGAAAAAAATGTATAATATCGTTTAATGTCAAAATTCAGTATGATTAATAAGGGACTAGGAGTCTTAAAAATTTCTTAATAAAAACCGTATAATTGCGAAAATATGCGTATATATGCGAAATTTCAAATTTGTGTTTTCATAGTGCATTATTAATTTCCTAATTAATTCAATTGTTAAAAGAATGGAAAACATGTTAGCATTCTTTCGCACTCTTTGATCTATTATTTTTTGGGATTGGGGAAAACTTGATTAATTTATTACTGCTATTTAAGAATATTCAAAAATAAAATAATTAGAATTTTTCAAAATTTTTAATCTATATTAATGTAAAAATCGATGTTTTTAGTTATAGTACAATCTTCCATTTGATCCGGTTTTTAGAAATATGTGTGTTTTAGATATATTCTATATATTCTGTATATTCTATATATTCTATTCGTAATAATAATAAATTATCATAAACACAAAAAATACAGAAACAAATACATTCACTCGCAGGTTCAATCTGTATTTGAAGCTATTTATCGTAATGGGCATAAATTGGTCTATGGAAATAGTGTCCTGGCTGTTCAAGAATGAGCCAAAGTATCTCTGGTATCTCACTGATTTGACAAATACCCTGCAAGGTCTCATTATTTTCATTATCTTCGTGTGCAAGAAGAAGGTCAAACGACTGCTGTTGAAGCGATTCGGTTTCCAGGATCGCGATATATTTTCTAGAAACTCGACACGCAGTGTCGCTTATCACAGTTCAGCTTCACGCACTTGCACGACATCAATTGCGTCAGGAGTGATACCTTTGCAGGAGAAGGTCAATCCATACGTGCAAACGAATTGTCGTGGGAAGAATTCATCTGATGAAGCTGATCCTTAATGCTACAACACACCAAAAAAGATTTTATCGCGTAGAGCAGGGATCAATGGTTAAACTATCAACTAACTATATTTAATTTTCACGGTTAAACTATCAACTAACTATATTTAATTCTTCAGACGAAGATTAATTTCAAATTATTATACATTGATCTCTTAGAAGGCAGAAATGGCATTACCTCAAATTTTCACATAACAATTTTCGTCTTTCTCTTTTTATTTCTCTCTCGTTCTCTCTCCTGGTTTGCTAGTTTCTTTTTATTTAAAAATACACTTAAGTTTTTCTTTCATCCTTTTTTTTAGAGTTGAAAAAATATTATTTTTTTAGTTTTTTTTATAGCGCTTCTAACGACATAATCAATTTTTATTATTTATATTTTGTAAAGTTTAAAAAATGTACGAAAAATTATCATAAATTATTATTACATTAGATAAAAACTAACTAAATTCATTCAACTATCATTATTGAATTAAATATTGTAATAGGAAGTTCGCGTGCACACATAAGTCACTACGCACTTCTTGTAATATTAACGTGACTACTTACATTATTGTGAAATTACTCAATTTTATTTTTAACTTTTAGTTTCATGCTTACGACAAATTTCGGAATAATTTATTATTGCATCTGTGTTAAATCAATAATTAAAATAAAATTTTGAAGAATTGATTAAAATATCCAAATGCATATGTAAAAAATATTACCATTGGAAAAAAATATATTTTTTATTCATATTTCAATGAATAAAAATGCGACAAATGAAGAAAGAATCGCACATATCTTTTTAAAATACTTGAATATATGATCGATTTTTCCGACATATCTAAATACTATTTAAAATGATCTTATCTAATGAATGTATTATCTTATTGTTTGATAACATTGGTTTTGTTCAATGCTATCTTTATGCATTTCAATATTTTGTATACTTGACAGAAATATCTTAATACGTATAAAGATTACACAATCGAAAGAACTCATATAGCATAAATATTCATCATGAATTGCATCTAATAGTAAAGCATAAGCACAGTACCCGGGAAAAAAAAGTCCATGTCTATTTATATAAAAAAAAGTAAAATTATATATACAGTTTATATATACAGTCTTATAAGATTATATATAATATCACATATGATTTTATCAGAGCATACGTTTTTGTATATGCTTAGATATGATGTCCATCTCTGACCATTTCTGATCATAAAAAATGATATTAGATACCTCACGTCATTTTGTACAATCAGACATAGTCAGATACTGATATCATATCTAAGCATGTATAATTAGATATTGACAAAATCCATATATGGACTTTTTTTCCCGGGTATATACCAAAAGTATATAATATATTATACTAAAACTGATCCAAAAGGGATTTATGTCTTTCTCTAGTATAAGAAAGTTTAATTTATGTTCTATAGAGACACATATCTCTCTCTCTCTCTCTCTCTCGCTCTCTTTTCTCTCTCTCCTTTGTTTAATTATAATAAACTTTAATAAAACATTTAATGGAACTTGTGCTAAGTTTTTAATGCGCTTAATGCGCTTTAATGCGCAAAAATGTCTTCTAAGATCTTCTCTCGAATAATTTTCTTTATATGAATATTATATGGGAGAATTCTTTCCAGATTACATTAAGTTCGATTTTTTATTTTTTCTTAAATATGACAAATGTAGCGTGTATGTATATTTTATTATATGTAGTTGTAATTTCTTAACCAAAGGTTACGATGCACAAATATCTGAACATTATATATATGCCTTGAATATATAAAAATTAATGCAACTTATAATATGTATTAAAAGTATTTATAATATTGAATACATCAATTTTTCTGAAAAATATAAAACTGTCAACTTAATACAAAAGTAAGAATATACTAGAGTGGTTAATACATAGTACTTAGTACATAATAGAGTGTAAAAATTATTCTTATTATTATTTTTAATAAAATAATAAAAATATGTTGTTATGTATTGTGGTGTATTATATACATCGACTGCCATATGTCATAGATTTATATAAATTTTGCCTTTATATCTATATAAATATGTTATTTTTTACTATTGATAATATTATTTTGATAAAAATACTATGAATGACAATTTTATTAATTTTAGTTTCAATTTTAGATAATTCATGTGTATCTTATATATATATATATATATATATATATATATATATATATCCATTTTTTATACTTATTCTATATTAATATTTGATCTATATTTTTATTGTATGTTTAATGTTATTAATTCGATTTAAAAATACCAAATATATATAATAAGTGTATAATAAACATATATATATTTTTAATATATATACATATATATATATATAAATATTTCTATAGCTAAATAAAATTAATTTCTATATTATTTCTATTATTATAATAATTATTTATTATTAAATGTGCTATATATAATTATTAATCTATATATTAAATAAGATATACCTTCTTTTATTTTAGATTTTTGATATTATTACAACATATCTCTTGGATATCCTTGCACTAAATTTAGTCAAGCACATTTAAATAAAAAATTTTATATGTAATCTTTATATATAATCTTTATAAAAATAAATAAAGACATAGATTTATTTTCTATATAAAATTGTACATAAAGTTTTCCAAAATGATATTTTATTTATCATATTACGAAAATATAAAACGTAAATCTTTTTATTTCTATACGTTTCATAAAATACTTTTACAATTATCATGAATAATTATTTAATATTATAGAAATAATATTATTTAATATATATTTTTATCTGCACATTAATATATGTAAATTTAATACACATTTATAAAATCAAAGTATTAAAAATAGATAAAATTTTTCAAAAAGTTTTTGAAATGCAAGAAAGAGCAACAAAATTTAATTGTGTATTTATGCTGCAGTTAAATATATATATGTATATTAAATATATAATATTTAAGGCTTTTTAATATGTATTTATATATATTATTACATGTATGCATTTGTAATCATCTATGTATACGAGATAAACCAAAATAAAAAATAATAAGAAATTATTACAGCATTCTTGTGTTCTGCTTTCACGCATTTTGTCGCTTTTCAAAGATAAGTTATATTTTATTATTTTTATATAACACAGAATAATCATTTGAATTTTTTTGGACATGTGTATATATATATATATATATATATATATATATATATATATATGTGTGTGTGTGTGTGTATGGATTTTATATAATTAATTGGCGATCTGTTCATACCCATACAGATTTTTATATATTTTTATATCAAGCAGATCATAAACGATAATGCTAAAGATGATATAAGGACAGCCATTTTTTTGTAGTAGAATATACAAGTTAAATAAATTGCTCATTTTACAGATTTTATTATATTTACTTAGAGTCCATTTTTATATTTTTATCGCATTTAATCAAACTGTTAATTGACACTTATCTTTAAAAGAAAATTTGCAATATTTCATATAAAAATTAATTTATAAATACTTGATGTATATTTAACAATATAATATAGTTTAAAAATTATATGTCTCTTGATAAAAAAGTCTATTTCAATTTAAAAAAAAAGAAAAAGAAAGTGTACTTACTTAAAAAATTTGATGCTTCTTTTAAAATATTTACTTGGATAGGAGTATGCTATACATTATTGGCATATTTTTTATTTTTATGTGTACACTATACACACACTTGATATTCTTTGTCGTCTTAATGTATATTCGTATTACAAAATTCATATTACACAACGTTCACATTACTATTACGTTGTTAAAGCTGCGTTCGCGTCATCAAATTCTGTGACACCCGATGACATTTTCTACCTATCCAGAAACTGATTATCTTTGTCATATTTATGTCATATTATAATCATATTTATGTAATATTATAATCACGTTTGTCATATAAAATTAAGTCATGTTAGCGATATAATATATAAAAGTCTATAATTGTGATTCATATTTTATAAAGTTTCTATTCAGAATTGGTACATATCACTTCTGTCATTCCTTAAATATATTCAGATTTAATCTATATTCCTATTATTACGTTTATATACTTGTATAATCACCTATGTATACAATTAGATAAGATAGAAAATAAAAAGTATTACAAATATTACTCAACAAATTTTCACATATTGTTTTTATTACATGTATTTATTTATAATTGCCTATGTATATAATAATTAGATAAGGAAATAGGAAAAAAAGTATTACAAGTATTATAGGCTTATACATTATTTGTATGCATCCTATTTGGATGCATACATTATTTGTATGCATCCTATATTTTCATTAATTACTGTTAATTAAAAACTATTGTAGAAAGATTTGAATTTATGCAAACATGTCTTCTCGATCAGCTCCGACGCCTTCACCATCTTCCAAGCTGGAGAAGTTGAGAAAATGAGCCGGCCTATGTACTTCGTGATAAAATTCTTTTGGATTCGCCAATTGCAGCTCGTATTTCATGTTGGGATCATGCCTTACACCCATAAAATTATAGTTCCACGAACCTTGACTCGGCACCATGAAAAAGCCGAGGAAACGATCGGACAGAAGCATTTGTACTTTTTCATAATGACTGGGTAGATAACCTTTTGGATTATTTCCCTTGTCGGTATTTTGTTTACCCCACTCAAAGCCACTTGGAGTCAATTTGTACGCTGTAAGAGAGCAAGAGCCGGGTGTGAAACTGCAAGTGATAACGATAGTCTTTTCGCCGTCCCAAATGGAATTCTCCGCCATAATACGGGCATGAGTGGATATATCCTGTGGCGATAATTGTGGCAGCTCGTTGGGCTGCGTATGTATCCATCCTAGTGGTTCCATCTCCTTCAAATATTGATGATTAGGTAATGTATTTGGGAGATGAACAGTTTGATGGGTTCCCCATTGTGGTGCCATTACAATGCATCTAATTTCTTTCACCTATATACATATAAAACAAAACTCAACTTAATTAAGACAAAAAAATCAATATGAAAATGTACATATATGATTTTCATATGTATCTCTTTTTAATATTACATATTTTACACAGACAATCTATATCTTAACGAAATAAAAGAATTAATTTACTTTTTTTTACATGTTCTTAAAGCATCATATACTTCTAGGGAATATACAGTTAAAATTTTATGTTGAATTCTTAAAAAAGATATTTAATTATAAGTGTTTTAAGATAAAATGCTTTTTAGAAATAGAAATAATTAAATGATCTATTATAGAAG